GTTCAAGTTGAATATTCAGAATGGTGCCTATGATCCCACCAAGTTCTGAAAATCAGATCACAGAGACTCTGCACTGTTCAGAGGAGGAGCGTTATGTAGCCAGCACAAATTTGTGCAAATGCCATTATGGAGACCATTACTGAAAACATTACCAAAACCTAATTCACTACAAAAAGATACAGAATAGTTCCAAAATTCAAAGTATCAGAGACCTTGACACCACAGGAAAAGGAAAATCTCCCCCCCCCTTCACCTTCCCACAGCTTGCAAATATTTTAAGTCAAGTACACAGTAGAATATCCAGCAAAGAAATAGTGTTTGCAGTGATAGAACTACCTGGAGTAGCATTCCCCAATCAGACACTCATCAGATGTGTTAGACAACAACTCCTATGATCCCCAGTCAACATTGTTATTGGATGATGGGAGTTGAAAGCCAATGCACCTGAAGGCCACCAGATCAGGGAATATTAAGTTAAGGGAATATTCCTCCATTCACAGCATCACCTGTAAAACAAGCAGACACGAGGAGGGTCACAATCCTTTTCCTCATACAACGTGTCCGGGCAGTCGCGGCCACCATTTGCAGGAAGCTGCAAGATGACACGATGTCGAGACTGTTTTGTGATGGCCACGTCCCCTGCAAACACATCAAAGTGCATTTTATCATCCAATATCCCCTCGGCTAGACCATCATACTTGGATCACAGTAGTTACAGGGAGAAAAAAGTTAAATGCAATAGCCAAATAAGCTGCTTGAAAGGTAAAATGTATAGTTAGTACATGATGCAGAGCCATGGTAACAAAATCAAAATATAGATAATTAAAAAACTAAACTGCTTCGAGCAATGAAAATTGATTTACTACCACTGTATGTAACAGTATCTTATAAAGCCACTCCACTCCTTCTCAAAGAGATTTTCATTATGTACCCTGCCCTGTTTCACTTGTTAGTGTCCTATAATGTAACATACGGTTCTTTTCATTTAGACATTTGAGAACTTTTCCAGTATTCAATGTAGATCATTCCTGCTGTTACAATCATATAAAATGAAATCCCTTCTTCTGTTAATGCTATTTTTATATCGTTAGCATGAATATTTTAACATCTAAACTCAATCTTTCTTCCAAAATGACAACAATAGCTTTTGGTACTTGCCTTCAGAAACCTCAGGCATTTACACAAGACCACTAACAACTGAAAAAATCCCCTCTTCCTTGTCTACAATTTCAGCACAGATCACAGACATCTTAAAGAACATTTGGAGAAAATACATACTCTAAAATGTTCCTAGGAACTTGGATGCTTAGCAGAATTTGGACTGGGGAGTCTCACTGCTTCAAAAGTACATTAAGGTGTATCACATGCCTTGAAGCACATTTGGTTAGATACAGACTGTGCGGCAGAATCTAATGAGGCACTTACACCCCCACTGATCCTCTTGGGCCTGCCAATTCCCATCTGCAAATGACACCCACAGCTTGTGACAAAAAGATTTAGCACTACCAGGACAATCAGAAATGAGCAAAAATGCTCATTTCCAGAATGGGCCAGCCTGGCAGAGTTTGCATAAGGAAGCTCCAACAACCTGTCCAAGTGAGAAACAAGCACTTCCATTAATTGTATGGCTTCACTTCTGAAGTGCTAAATCTCTGTTGCACAAGCAGCAAGTCCTTTTAATGCAATGGCATTGGAAGGACCCATCACTGCATGGGAGAATTGCCCCATGCAGCATCCAACACTGCATTCCACAAAAGCAAACAATGTGTGCATAACTGGCAAAACTATTGCATTCTGCACTGGTAGAGCTTTCATAAATGGGGCTCATTGCACTAGCAGTGCTTGTATAAACAGTACCAAGATTTGTTAAATGGAGTGGCCCCCTGAATGACTCTTTAGCTGGATTCTCCCTTGCATGTAGTTACAAACCTAATTTTGCTACTGTAGCAACACTGCAGTGCTAATGAAATGGCACCCCTGGATCCTGCCCATAGTCATATTAAGTGCCATTGAGTTCAATGGGTCTACTCCAAATACAACTAATTCTGTAACCAACCCAATGAGCATGCATGAACTCTGTATGACATATATTTGGTGATTCTAATTGAAAGCATCAGTGATTTTCCCCCCACCTCAAAATCTCAGTGCATCATGAAACAGGGCACACATAGCATAAAGGCAGCATGAGCAAAGACAGTGACAGTCAAAAGTTGGCTGAGTTAAAGATTACAGCTGCACACACAACCTGAGGTCTTCTTCTGCCAAGACTGGGCAAGTACAGAAACATTTATATTGCCTGACCAGTAAGAGAAGTAATTAAGTTCATTTAGTAAACGTGTCAGCCTTGCTGTCTAATACATTTAGATGTCCCCCAAATTTCTGCTTGTTCCTGCATTGCACACAAATATTCATGATAAAAATTGAAAACAAGTGCCATGCTGCACCTAGAAAGCAGCATAACATTGCACAGATGCCTCTAAAATTACCATACCACATATTACATTGTATTTGCCATGTTGGGAAGAACACGTCCAGCTTCTCCTCCCAGCCGTCATGGTGAGGCTTAGAGGCTTCCCTTGAAGTCTCTACATAGTCTTTATTTCCTCAAAAGGTTACAAGTTTAATCCGTCTAATCCTTTATTAGTTAGAGAATACTCTAATCAGTAACCAGGACAGCTGTAAAAGTGATTCTGTATTTGTCTTGTGGGTTTTTTTCTTTTATAACATGGAGCATTAACTATGAACTATAAAGGGTATCTTTTAAGTGCAACAATCCCATGGCTTTGGAAAATAGGTGACAATAAGGAAGCACAATACGCCATGGAGGGATTAGCATGCACGAACAAGGAATTATATAATTGACTGCAGCTATGATAGGGCATATATGGAGAATGCTTCTCTCTAAGCTCCAGAGGGGAAAAGGGATGAGGCAGAAATATCTGGACAATATTAAGTAAGTTAAAAAATGTTCTGCAACTGTAATTACAATGCAAAAGAACATTTTAAAAAGAGTAGAAGGTTTGCACTACTGCAGAAGGCGGTAGCACTGAACATCTGGAGGAATGTGCTTAAATAAAATACTTAAGATTATTTGACTGTTCGGTTAAAAAAGGAAATATAAAAAAGAAACATGAACATCGATCCCTTGTTATTCCCCCTCTGAAGCAAACGTGCAAAAGTACAACATAACATGATGAACATCCTCTCTTACAGAAATATTTATGGCTTATAAGGGAGCACAAGCCATCTGCACCTCCGGACTCTATCCCTGAGGTGCAATACACCAAGCGGTGTATCATAACCTCTCTGTTCATTGTGGTGAAGCTCTGCCAAATGCAGTGATGCTATGAATGCACATGGACCTTCAAGGGGAAATACCTGAAGCTAGTATTTACATTTTTTTTTTTTTGAATTAGTGTTTACTAGAGGGAAACAAATGCTGTTACTCAAAATGCAATGCTAAGCAACTTAGGTGAGGGGTTAGAATGACAGAAAAGGGTTTAAAGGTGCAACCCTAAGGTCCCAGTGAGAATGGAAGACCCTTTTCAGTCTAAACTTCCATAGCATCGCACACAAAGGTGTGCTGAACACACTGACAAAAGGATTTGGTGTACTTTTCCACCACATTTGTAGGTACACAGAGTGGTTTTTAGTGTCCCAGTTTATGCTGGAAGCTGACATGTTGTATGTTACCTTCCTGACATGATGAAGGGCATGGCGTCCAATCGCTGTACGGGGTCACAATGCAGTCCTTCCTACAGGGGAGCAAGCATGGTCTCACCGTCTCAGGGCGAAGGCTTTCAGGACACCTAAAATGAGCGATGACAACCAAAAAGACAAAATGAAAATAAAATGCAAGGCCATGTTGACTACAGGCACTCCAAAGCTATTCCAGTGAAAGTACTGGGTTGCCATGAAGATACATCTAGATTTTATGCCATGAGGCACACCAGCATTTGGACACTTGTCCCACACTGACATTCTTAAAAATGCTTTGGTTCCTTGTTTGCTTCTATACAGTGCAGGGGGACTCTCCCTTAAAAGCCTCGCTGCAGATGTGCAGACATCCCCTGCATTCTAGCCATTCCAGCTAGTTCACAGTGGGCTCAGTGGAGCACCAAAGAGATTTTACAACCCACACATACTTTTTAGCAATAGTTGTACAATTTGTCATGCCCGAAAAAGCATCTGAAGTCAGGGGTGCTCTGTCGTTCTGTGCATGGAATGGAGAGTAGGATTCATACGGGATCATTGCCTGGGAAATACATGACATCTAGGGTGAACCAGGGGGTACCTCTACACTGTGTGTCACGGGCTATCAAAAAATGCAAACAAAATGACTACCATATGGGAGAGCCATCAGTTTATCTCAGCTGTTCATCTGAATGCCATAGTGATCCTTCAGTGACATAACTGATGGATGCTAATTTCCATCTATTGTTTAAAAGATTTGTATTTAATTGCTTGGTTGCCTTTTAATCATGATGCTAAGATTATAATTCTGTCTATGTATCCATCTTTCTCTGCTTCTTTCACTCTTTTTGTTATTCAAGGTTGAATTAAACTGAAGCAATATAAGCTGAAGTCTGCTACTTTGAAAGTAAGGCCAATAATATTGATTTTGTCATATCACAGTAATCCTTTCTATTAAGGGGCATTTAAAACATGGTTATTATTTGCACTTTCCTTTCTATCTTCTGCTCTTTCAAAACTTATTAAGTGACATAACCACAAAATTGTTCAAGAGATCAATTAGAATTTTACTGCCCTTTTTTCTTCAGATTGCATCCTTTATATACTGACATTAAATGACTATGTGTATTATTCAAAAAGCAAAACAAAAAGGTAATTATCAATTATGCAAATATGGAAACAACAGACAATTCTATAATATGCTGTAATCCAATGAGTTAGAACATTTCGATTTGCTTGTTATGTTTATTATAATTTCAGACAAATTAATTTATATTAATAGAACTCTCTTGTGGCAGTTCTATAAAGACATAAAGGAGAGCAACTTAATTATTCCTGTTATATTTACTTTTTGGGTCCAACTTGTCCCACATTGACCCTCACGCAGATGACTTTTCTGGTTTGCATTCCAACTGCACAGGTTGCCTCTCCATTCCAGCCAGTCGAAGAGTTGAATGATGACACAGAAACATCTTCTATGCACTGACCCCAAGGTCCTGTTTGCCAATGGTACACAGTACATGAATGTTCATTGCAGTTGCGTGTTTCCTGCAGCATGCTGCTATTCGGGCACTGAAGTCCACCTGGAAGAAATAATATTTCTGTGTTGTGGGGAAGAAAAATCATACTAAACAAATAAGCTTGGTAGTCAATGTCTTTTTTGATCTTGGGATGTGAGCTTGAAATTAAAATTAAAAAAAACATAATGCCTAGTGCTCACTGTAGTAAGCCTATGATTATCTTTGCTGTACCACTTTGGGCCATGGGTGGGGGTCTACATAAGAGATGCTCCTCTAAACAAAAGATTTAAAAATCTCTGCATGCAGGCAAAAAGGGTTCCGGCCTACTCCTCTCCCTGATTATCTGGTGTTCTTTGTGCAGGGATTTGTAATTACTGAGGAATATTCAGTTCATGTAAGCTCTCAACTACAATCTTCACTGGCAGAGCCCAGGTATAGTTTGACAAGAAGTTAGTCTTGGCCTAAGTCTTAGTTTGGACATAAAATCTCTCAGCTCATTATGCTAAGACATGCATGAAACTTGTGCTGTATCTTCAGGAAACGGAAGATTTCCTGAATCAATAAATCATAATTTCCAGCTATGCTTGAACTGGGAAGGGATGGTTACCAGGATTAGAAATAATCAGCCCATGGCATCAGATTCTGAATTTTCCAGTCCTGGTAACTATAGTTTCCTCTTTGAATGTAATGGGAAACTATGGTTAATAAGCCCAGAAATTAACCTCATTCATGGCACACAAAGAAGGAAGAAAGGAAAGGTCACAGAATGCTAACACAATGCTCATTATTTGGCTTAACAAGCCAAGAAGTATTTTATCTGAACCACTGAAGTACTGAATATGCCACATTCCACACAGCATTTTTATATTTTTATCTATTCTAAACAATCGGCTGGCTTGTTATTTGATGTTTGCATTTTTTCAGTTTAGCTTCAATAAAATGAATGCATTGAATCTTATTTTTATAAGCCAGAACAAGCACAAATGATCTATTTTTATGCTCTGTAGATATCAGAATGTCTGACATGAAGTTCATGATATGAATGGAAGTCTTTACAATCTCATCAATAACCTACCACACTGAATAACTAAATAGTTTTGAATAATTAGTATTGTTAGGCTCACATGGACAACAAAGCACCTTACATGTCAAAACTGTGGTGCAGTGAGCTGACTGGCAAACAGTGGGGAGACGGGAACAGTCAAACTGCCTTATTTTGAATCAGGCCATGAGCAGTGGCTTTTCAGGCTTTCAGGCAGGAGTTTTACCTGCCCTACCTGGAGATGCCCAGAAATGACCCTGGGACCTTCTGAAAACAAGGCACTCTCTGGTACAATCTTCCCCAGCCCTGGAAAGGAGGGAATGCGCATCTGTAATGTCTGGATAGCATCACATTGGGGAAGGCTGCTACTGAGAGTGACTTTGTTGTAGGATGCAACAAAACTGTGTATTTGTTATTCACTGTATGTACTTCAGCTGCCCCCACAGAATGAGGTAGTGCAAGGTGGAAATATATTAACAATCCAACATTGCATCCTCCTCCAGTAGTGGGATATTAGGCCAGCTGGCCAGAGAACATACTGACTTCTTATCCCAAAGCTGCTTATCAGTGACTACTATATCTAGTGTACAATGTCAAAGGATTAAAAAAAAATCTAATGTGACTGCGCAGTCACTGGAACCAGCTTCTCTAACATGGAAACAGGAGCTGTGCACATGTAATTAGAAATAAATGAATTAGAGAAGCTGAGTGACAGAACTTTTTGGAGAAGGGCTTTTGGAAGGCTCCTGGGTACCCAAGACTTCTGCTCGAGTCTGGTTGCTATAGTCCTAATAGTACAAAGGACAGATGTCCAACTGTATTAAGCAACACAATATAAAGTATGAGTTTAGACAGCTCTTCCTATAACATATAATAGCTAGAGAGGCTAATAGCTAGTTACAGAGGCCTATTCATTATAGTTCCTGCATTAAGAGCAAACTGAGCAAAACACCTTGCACTTCTGTTTAAGTCAACTGCAGTTAAGGAACAGAATGTGTCTGATCTCACACTCAGTCCAAGATCCTGTTTTCAGTATTTCCATCACAGCAGCCTACTCCGGAGGGGCAGAGGACCTGCCTTTCTGTTGTTAGCATTGCTAAACAATATGGAATCAAACACCCTTCGCCAATCTGACCATTCAGAAATTTAACAGTAAACCCTACTCCTCCTCTGCATGTCCCTACTCTAGGCCTCAAAAGCTTATGGCACCAAAAAGGTCAATTTTTAAGATACCACAAGACTCATTTCTGCTTTTAGCTACATTATTGAATTGACTAAATTAACAAATCTGTCCTTCTCATCTGTTCATCTGTATGTCTGAATCATGCCTATCCCCCTTTATAAATGCCCACGCACATGTATGCAGGGCATGAGCCTTCAATTCAGACACACATGGAAGAAATTTTAAAAAAAATTATTTGAGGAAAATCTCAACCCTTCAAGGAAAGGGAGACATTTGGTTTGTTTCGGTGTCTGTCCTACATTATCTGAGACCTTAGGTATAGAATTTATCAATTCAGTCCTTTGGTCAGGGGCACCCTGTTACAAATCTAGGCATTGCTACTGATTTACACAACAAAGAAGTTGCAAAAGCATCCTCCACACACCATTCCATTGATTTCTACAGGATTTACTCCAAAGTCAATATGTTTGAAAGTGCTTCCTATGCCAGAAGAGGCTACAGCAAATCAAAAGGATTAGAAATTTAAGCAAGAAAATTGCAATTAGAAATTTCCTTTCTGATACATGTACTAGATCTCAACCAGTTACTTTTATATTCAATTATTACTTAATGAGAATTAACACCCATTAGCAGATGAAAGCACATATCCATACAATAGAACAGAATATTCAATGCAACTAATCTGCTATCAAAGCATTAATTGATTCATTAGAGTGGTTAATCAGCTAAATGCTTTCATGCCTAAAATTAGTTTCGTGATAATGCTTCAGAAAATGCTTCCATCCAAAAAAAAAGAAAAATATGTAAGCAGGGGCAAGACAAAAGGAAAGAACATGAATCAGCTTGCAAACAGGTGAGGCTGCAATGGAAGCTGGAATCCAAACACACCGACTATCTATACAATCAGATAGAAAGCATGGAAGATCTCATTCTGTTTCTCTTCTGTTTCTTGTTTGTGGCAAGCAGGTGTTAAGAATTGGGGGTCAAACCTACACCAGAAAGTCCATGGTTGATCTTCTATGTTTTCCCTAAAACTAAAAAGAGCTGTGTGTGTGCGGGGCAGGGGGGAGTCACAAACTTAATCAGGAAAGTGTAAGTTGGGGCATTTATTCCACCTACCACTCAAAGCATAGAGGAGCCTGAATGGGGCAATTTAGATTTGGAAAACAGCAAGGGGGAACGGATTTCAGAAGGACCCCTGCCACTTCCTGCATAAATCCAAAAGTGAACAAATGGCTTAAGGAAATGACTGATTACATTCAGTACAGGCAAGAGAACTATTTGATAAAATAATGCATAGCCCAAATGGCAGGGGATATACTGATAGCTCTAAACCACATATGTATTTGGCCATGGTGAGCCTGAAAAAGACATGATTAACTTGAGGCAAAGACAATATGTGACGAACCCTTAAAATAAGATTGCTAGAGTGAATGAGGCTAATTCTAAAACCAAAAAGTGGGTTTTAAGGAAGGCTGAACAATAGTACAATATAGACTAACAGGTAAGTATTAATATATGCCATATTTGATATATGTTGTGTTCAGAAGCTACAGTATCATGCTGTCTTTTTAAAGATTTTCTGTCAATGGTATTTGTGTTATTTGCATGACATTTTGGGGGAAGATGGCATCATCCCCCACTTCAAGTACAAAAGCTAATAGGACTGATAGTTGAAACTTATTTCAGCACTGAGATGGGACAGCATGCCTGAAGGCAGCAGATTATTTTTGGAGGCTGTGGCACACAGCATCTCGATCTTCCACTATGGCTCCTCATCTCCCAAAATCCTTTGCTTGAGGTGGTTGCTCCACTCTGGTAAGTTAATAGGGCTACTTCTATTAGCAGTGACACTTCTCAGAAGCTTAGAGCCCCACACAAAGCATTGACTTATAAATTATGAAAAATCTTTAACACAAGTGAAAGTAATGAGATTGCAAGAATGAGACTTTACTAGTGAAAGATTCCACTTGGGAAATTCTTGCCAAACCAAATATAAGTTTCGCCTTTGGGAAAAAGATGGCCATATTCTCAGTGATTGGATTTATACGTCTCCTGACACTTATTTTACATAGACAAACTAAAATGTCTAACACTGAAATGGTTCCAACTGTCTAAAAGGGCTGTTGCTGCAGATTGAGATGAGGAATGTGTGTTGGCAGCATTCAAACCAGACCCTGCACTGTGGCACGGTGCTCCCAAATCAAATAATCTATTACCTCTTGGCCTTCCCACTTCTGAAATCATCTTCCACTAGCTGCATTAATTTGCATATGGTTGCATCAGCCTCCCAGAAGTTATTGCTGAGTTTCAGCAATGTTTGAAATATCTGAGTTCCAAACTGGACTCCAAATAAAAGGTTCATGTCCAGAATCTTCAGGGAAACATGGAAGAATTTTAAGGCCTCACTTTTCTCTTTTATATAACTTCTACCATCTCTTTTAAGCCCCTTTTTCATGGAAGATTAAGCGCCAAGCATGTAACATTTCTGAGACCCATTTCTGCCTCATAAATGTCAGAAGCAGGGAACCTAGGCTTGATAATGTATCCAGCTTTGTATTGTAAAAGCTTTTGAAATGTATTTATAGCCTGCCATATGCCAAGGGCTAGGCAACCGGGAGGGTTACAGAAGCTTTGAATAATATAAGTAGATCCATGTCTCTCATTGGACTATCATTAGGTCAGATAAATGACCCAATGAGGAGGAAAAAAACAAGAAGTTGATTGAAATTAGTGATATAAATATAATATATTTATCTGTAAAAGCAATGATTTCTACTTTGCATGGAGGAGTGAAGAGATCCCAAAGTGCAATTCGTTGCTGCTATATATATATATATAAATATATATGGATATATATATATATATATATATATGTATGTATGTATGTATGTATATGTATATATCCTTAGCAGTGCACTGAATAGCCATGTGAAAGCTTGGGTGAGTTGTGGCTAATGAGCCAGGGCTCATAACCTCATTGCCTGGCACCACTACTCCTTTCCAAGCCTGCGCATGGCCACTATGTGGGCTGTTATCCAATGATCAATAGCTGGGGCGATGCTGGGTCGACTTGGCTCTCATGCAGACGGCAATGGCTCTGTGTGTGTGGTGTGGCATGTGTGCCTTTGGTTTGTTACCGCTGGCCTAATCCTACCCTGGTGCACACTCCTAACTCTAATACAGGGCTAAAGTTCCATTGAAGAGAGGGCAATTTTGAAAAAGGCTTCCTTGAGTAGCTTTTTCTGCACTGCTCAACATTTCTGCCCACTCTAAACACATTCCAACCATCAGAAACTTGCCAGGACACCTCGCTTTTCTAACCCTAACCCTACCCTGGTGCACACCCCTAACCCTAATATACAGTGAAGGTTCTATTAACAAGAGGGTGATTTTGAAAAAGCCTTCCTTGAGTAGCTTTTTCTGCACAGCTCGTCATTTCTGCCCATTCCAAGCACATTCCAACCATCAAAAACATGCCTGGACACCACATTTCTCTAACCCTAACCCTACCCTGGCCCACACCCCTAACCCTAATATAGGGCGAAAGTTCCATGGAAAAGTGGGTGATTTTGAAAAAGCCTTCCTTGAGTAGCTTTTTCTGCACAGCTCGTCATTTCTGCCCATTCCAAGCACATTCCAACCATCAAAATCATGCCAGGACACCTCGTTTTTCCAACCCTAACTTAGTGAAGGTGAACCTTTTAGAGACTGAGTACCCAAACTGCAACCCAAAACCCACTTAGTCATTGCAAAGTGCGAACCCTGCAATTAAACCTGAAAAGTGAGGTTTTAGTTTAGAAAAAACAACTCACAGCTAGTCAAAGTATCCGTATATATCCTTGGCAGTGCACTGACCGGCCATGCGAAAGCTCGGGCGAGTCATGGCTAATGGATCACAGCTTGTGCTGTCATCACCTGGCACCGCTACTCCTTTCTGAGCGTGCGCATGGCTCCTATGTGCAGGGATGATGCTGGGGCAACTTGCTTTGCATGCCAACAGAGAGCGCTCCATGTGCCCACTATGGCACATGTGCCATATGTTTGCCACTACTGATCTATCCTCTCTACACTGCACACTGCCACAGCCTTGCATCCACTCAACAGGAGTATTGTTAAAGCAGAAACTGGCACCTGCTGTCCAATCACTTTCACTGGGGCCAAGCTACCCAGGGAGGCTCTGCCCCTGGGTTGTTCACTATTACATCCATATCGGGAATTCTGCATGAGAAAAGCCAGAGTAAGAATCCATGGGATCTATTTAAATTTAATTTAAATTTAAATTCCAGTTTAAATTCTTGCTTGATCACCAACCAATCTGTTGTGAATGGGTCTTTTCCCTTTCCTTTCTAAATGGAAGGCTTTTAAGTACAGTCTTTTATTTGAGCTAGACATGGAGGTTTTTGGTGATACAAGGTGTTTCATACAAGGACTGTTCTCAGATAGCATTAATCAAAGTGACATTCCCTCTGGTTATGGGAGAATCTCATTGCCCAGGTGAAGCATGGAGTCATAACCAAAGGCCTCCTCTCTTCTCTTCCTTTCCCAAAAGGATTGACTCTGTGCTTGATGAGGTTCAAGCTTCTTGTGGGTCAGATGGTAGAAACACTGGATGTTACTTAACTGGCCCACTTATTTGGCTTGTTGCCAGCTCACTGGGTTGATGAATTCACACCCGTCCTCCTCAGACCTTCCATGTTCTACAGTGTTTCCCCACAGACCCAAGGCAGTTTGATTCTCAGCAGCTGTCTGACAAATCTCGCTGGTTAGCCTTTACATTTTTGTGCCACATTCTGACTCCTCTCCTTCTTCATCCAGCTCACATTCCAGGTCTGTGCTTTCTATCTGGGAATGCTGTGTTTTGAGAGAAAGAGACCCCATTTCTAAAAAAATCAGATTGTTATGAACAAGTACGAACATGCAGGTTCCCACTGCCTGATCACTCTTACTGCAAATGGGAGAGCCATCCAGCTCAGGGCCATTCCTTTCCTGAGTTGTTCTGCCTGTAAATTGGAAACACTAAACTGTTGTAGGAGATAGAACCAAGAAGTAAATCTTGGGTTCCAGCTGGTTTATTGCAGCATGCAAACCAAGCCACTGTATTTACATTTCCTTAAAACTTCTTCCTCACTGAAGACATTCAAAGTGAAAGTTAAATTTTGCCCTTGGTTAGATTTTTGTCACCCAAGTTGTACATGTAAGCGCTTCTATGCATTTCAAAAGCAGGCAATGACCTCCAATGGCTTGCTGCCAAGGAGCAATGACACGACCTGTCCTGCTAGAATGGCTAAACCTTTTCCATGCATTGCTGAAGAGACAGGCATCATTTGTCAGGCAGCACAGGGCAAAATTCCTTTATGGATTTAGTGGCATGATGACGACAACAGATTTGATTGAAGTGAAGCCTAAAAGTTATAATCTAAACTGATATGGTTTGAACTTAGAATTTAATTGAAGAAGCAAGAGTGACCTTTCAACTAATTCCGGAATAATGGTATAGTGCATAGAGATTTTCTTGATAAAAGTTACCCAGACTTTAAGGCCCAAACTAAGTAAAAGTATACAAGCACATACGTACCTGCTTTTAATTAAATAAAAAAAGAAAGAAAGAAAGGATTATGTGTGTATCATACTCTAACATGTAACTTCCAGAAGTCTCTTGCCTAGATGGTCATATAACAATCCTGCTTCCTTTTCACTGTTGCTACATAAGCCACTGAGCCCAATTCATGTTATCATTAAGCACATGAGAAATGCTATTGATATGTGGTCCAGCATCTCCCATCTTCCACTCCAAATGCTTTTAAGCCTTTTCCATAAGTTTTCCTGTAAAACATATGCCCATGCTAGAAGCAACTCTATTTCATAACAATATTTATCCATTATCCCAAGATATGGCACAGTATTGTAAGTTCAGTTATCTAAAAGGACATGGTGGAAGTACCTAAGCAAACTCAAATACCTCACTTTAAACATCCTTCCAAATTCTTACCTATGTTTCTACTTTAAAGATTCATTTCCATAACTTTTCTTTCCACTAGTCCTACTGTTCACTTTTATACAATGAACTTGCTACCATATTTGTATTTGAAAATGGGAGCTATGTGACTTTTAAGGTACCCTTCTCTGAAAAAAAAAAAACTTATCTAAAATGAAATAAAATGGAATAACAGGAATGCATAATATTATAAGCAAACATGGAGCCATAGTTTTCAACACTAATCCTAATAATAGTATAGTATCAGATCAAATTAATGGCTCACTCTAAGATTTCCTTCTGATAATTTCTCACAGATATTCCTAGTTAAAAAGATGCCATTAAGTATTCATAGTCATAGACCAAGCCTGCTGAAGGAGATGACCTTACCTTCACCTGCATATGCCAAGATAGAGCGGGCACGCATCTGTTTTCCTTCCGTGTTTTTGCCTGAACAGGTGTGTGAGCAGGAGGACCATCCAGACCACGTGCTGAGTACACAATCCTTTGGGCATGGATCTTCACAGACAATGGGGACTGGATAGATAGCATCTCTGCACAGCTGTCTATCAACCTCTTCTCCTGGGGAAAAAGAAGGCGAGCAGCAGTATATCATTGCTAATTTAACTCAAACTCAGTAGTCTCAGTCCAGATGGGTCTACCAGTAAATTGGATTCTGTTGAATTGTTAAAAAAACCAAACAAAATAAATTGATTAGTTATCAGAGTGATTGTGTCTTCCATAGTTAGATGATAAAAATGATAATGATAAATGCTAGAATGCTTAAGAGACCCACATCCACTTAAAGTGAGTTGAAGTAGTGAAGAGGGAATAGATAGATACTTTTGAGATATTAGAACGAAAGTTGGCAAAGAAACTGAATTAACACAACTTTAATGTAGGTAGTCACCATATCTTTCCTAACAAAAGCATCTTAAAGAGTAGTTGTGTGTCTGCTAGATAGCAACTAGATGGCCATGGAGTTTTTTGAATTCCCAGTTATGTGCTTTGAAAAATGTCCTCAAATGATTCTTTCCCAATGTCACTTGCTGTTTCTTCAAGTTCGTATCAGCGACATATCCTGGCAGTGTATCAGCCACCTTTCCTCCAACTGCAAAGCAATGCACTAAGATGGCCAAAATCTACTATCTACCTGCTTGGCAGGATGGAAGGAGTGTGCAGGCAACTTTTGTGATGGTGCTACTCCTGCCCTGCATCGGATGTCTATAACCCTTTGAGTCTGAGGTACTTGCAGGAAGCTTTCACCTTCACAGCACAATTCTACACATCATTAATCATAAGTAAGTCCCAGTGAGCCTAGTGGGCCTCACTCCCACATATGTACGTTTGAATGCAAGTTGAGCGCTCTCTCTCTCTCTCTCTCTCTCTCTCTCTCTCTCTCTCTCTCTCTCACACACACACACACACACACACACACACACACACACACACAGCATGTGTGAACGTTCATCGCCTGCCTATTCAAAGTACTGGTATTAACCTGTAAAGCTTAAAACAGTATGGGGTCCCACTACCTGATGGTTTAGCATTTCCCAAATATACCTACTCAGCCTGAAGGCATCTGAGGATGTTCTCCAAGTATCCCTGCCAAAGAAGGTCCAACAGATGGCTGCTAGAAGGACACCTTTTTATTGTTGGAGCCCAGGTTAGGTAAAAGTCTCCCAGAGAGGCTCAGGGCTCACCTAAATTATGGCCTTTGGCCACCAGGTGAGGGTGTTTTCATTTCGCCAGGCTTTTCAGTCTTAAGCATTGTTCAGTACTTTTTAACAGCAGTTCAACAGATCTTTTGTTGGCTGCCAGTTTTATTTTTATTTCTATACTGTGTGGCTTTTGTTGTTTTGTATTTTATGCCTTTAATTTTTATTCATAAACTGCCCAAAGAACTTTTGTTATTGGGAAGCACATCACTATTATAAATAAACTCAATGATATGAAAATCATCATGTGAAGGTCTTGCCACATTTCTACTACAAAATGCACATTCAGGCAATTCTACATACAGAATATAAGATTTCAGGCAAGGGCAGGGACATCTCTGTTTATCCTGCCCAAATTTAGCACATTGTCCAAACTGGAGTTAAGCAAAGCATTCTTTTAATTTTTTCATCGAACAATTAAAAATCTGTGAAACCACATGGAAAGTATTGGAAGAAAAGGTGTTTTCTCATCAGGTTGCTATTAAGAACAATTCAGTGTTGACTGAAGCCTAACTGAAGAGTTCTGACAAGGGTAAAAGTTAATGTGCTCAATTGCACCCCCCTCACATGTTCCATCCCCATTGTGGAGGGCGACCTTCTGAGGAGAAGACCCTCCTCTATTTCTGGAGGCTACCCACACAACTAGGATTCCCAATTTTCCAGCATTCTCAATTGTGTAGAGAGGAGAACCTGGAGGCACTCATGGATACAGGTGGAGATAGGACATTGCCTCTCCAAATGTGTGAACACGTACCCTTTCAGGACATAATTCCAGCTAAAGACAAAAGGTGTAACAAATTGAAGATGCTGGTGCAAACTTGTTAAAAAGAAACTCTGGCAGGAGTGGAGCCATGGACAAAATATATTTCCCACAATTCATTCTTGGCAATGAGAACTGCACACCCTTAATCCAAACTGGGACCACAGCAGGGAGCAAAGGGATACAGCCCTCATATTCCCACTGCATAACCAATTCCCCTTGCTTACTACTCAATAAACTGGGATTTGAGGGAGAGGAAGAGAGACTTAGCTACTAGCTATGCCTTTAATATTTGGATTAACCTGAAGAGCTGACCTTCTACATTAATCCCAAAATACTTTTCAGAACAGTTTACAACTCATGTGTTCAAAATGCCAAGGAAATAAACAATTTTGGTCCATCAAGTAGCCGTACAGCAGACACTTTTCTGAAAACTCTGGCTGTCCCTCCTGTTCTTCTTACATGCTGACAAGTAACCTCTGACTTATGACAAGCCTATGCATGAGTAACATCCAAGTGGTAACAGCCCAGCTCAGCTCTTCTGAACAGAAGGGCAATTTATGTCTCTGAAAACATGTGGTTGCCACATGTATGGCTTCACCCTCAGCAAGTTTCGAGATTTCAGACAGTCATCTCGACACAGGGCACCAAGTCACAATTATGGAGTGGTTCCATTCCATCATAATAGCTAATATCATTTATTATCAAGATGGTTAGTGTAAAATAGTAGACTAAATATGCTACTACAAAACGTGTGTGTCCATGTTACAAATAAAATATACAGATACCACAGTAAAGGCAAGTCAATATTGGTAAATAATATTAAGATTATATAAATATTTTTCAAAAGCTTAGTCAAAGATGTTTCAGTGCCAATCAAATCCTATGCACAAAATATGTTTTATGTAGTATTTGCTTTCTACCAAACCTCTGGCCTTACTTTTAGTCCATGAAAAATGTAGAAATTGCCTGAATAAACTTGTTGGAAGAGTGGAAGTACTTTATTTCTTGGTCATATTAATTTGTGACAAAATGTTGACCACTATATTTGTGTATATACTGAGCAGGGGAACAAGTGTTGTATATGTGAGGAACAGACAGAGGTTGAGGTATGGGGGAATTATGCCAATTCTTACAGAATAGACCACATTTCCACATAGGACCATAGGAGTTTGACTTGCATATGGAAAACAAAATGACATATGACTGACTCCTCTTTAAAAATGACACTACCAAAGGCAATAAAATTCTGTCACTGACTGCAAACCGAAATGATGTATTCAAATCCAGACCATCAATGTGCAAATCTTACCCAACTAGAGGGAACAATATGGAATGAGGCAATAATTTAAAATGGTTACACCTTCTCTTTAGGGATTTATACTGTTGAGGGTGAACTGTTTCTAATATTTCACTAATTATTTTATGAACCACTTGACCTTTGTGGTCCCCACAATTAATATGCTACCCAGGAAGCCATCAACCATTTGCTGTGAAAGTAATTCCAACAGAAAGATCTCATGAAGTGGCAGAAATCCCAACAGACCTCTTACAGATACTATTCTATTTTGTATTATAATATAGTCAAATGCAACAGGTGTGACAATGCTGTGCATACATGCAAAAGGGACCATCTCGGCACTCCCGGGTTGCCGTGAGCCTACTTTTCCTTTGGATTGGTGTTTTGGGACTATGAGACTGAACTGCATCTTCCATGCCTCCCTTTTTCCCTTTACAGAAATGTTGCTGACTGGCACCACTTGTGGCTTATTCCCCGAGCAAAGGAGTTGTTATCATTCTTAAACTGCTTGAGGGTTAGATGACACAAAGTAATTCAGGAATGCTAGCCAGGAAGATGATGGAAAGAGTTTACTTCTAGAAGATCACGCCACTAAAATGAAGCTTGGGGGGAGAAAAAAAGATTGCTGCTGATCCATCATGATGAAAAAAGTCTTATGCATATCCACACTAATTTCAGCCATTAGGCATGACATGTAATGCATAATATTAGTATCTTTATTTTCTTTTCTATTACAAAGAATTACATTGCAATGCCCAGAATAATGACTGTCATTTTTCAACTAACAGTTTGACCCTGCTGCAACAGTTCAAAATAACCGACCTCCAGCCAGTTTAATTTGCTTCTGAGGTATGATCTCTTGCCCAACAACTCCCTTTGAGGGGTGCTTCCTCATAACAAGAAACGGCTTGGCTGGCAGCAGCAAAGAGTAATGACAGACAAGCAGTGACAAATCATGGCCACCACCCCCTCAAAAAAAAGGGGGGGGAGGAGGAGGAGGCAAATGACCCTCCCAGCACAGTGGTACATAAGGTGCGTGATCCATTGACCTTTCAGTCTGCCACCTGAAGAGAAGGACTCTCCCTGCCTCATGGGAGGACTGTCCTCTGGCCCTCATTTCCCACTTAATGACATTGTTCTCTGTAGTGGGCTAGCAATTAATTCTGGATGGGCTCAAGTGGCAAATGCAACCAAAGCCAGGACAAAGAATCCAGAGACCAATTCTCACAGCTGCCTTGCTATGGCTGGTGGGACCAAAAAGTCAGCACAGCTTCTGAATGACTGAGATGTTTGTGTGAAACATCCTTTAACCCTAATGGCTTGGTCATTGGCTGCTCAGCCAAAATTGGTACTAAAGGAACCCAGTTACCACTCAGAATACAGTACTACAAAGACTTATTTGGACATATGCTTCATTGAACTTAGTCTTTCTGCTGATTAGACAGGTATAGGTGCTGTCAGTCACCAATGTGATTTGGTTATCTATGAGACTAATTTGGTATTTAACTAAATATAATAAATAAATAAATTGATGATATTTTTTGCTAGCTCTGGTAGGTAGATATAGGTATATTTTATTTATTTATTTATTTATTTATTTATTTATTTATTTATTTATTAAAACATTTTTATGCCGCCCCATTCGCCGAAGCCTCGGGGCGGCTTACAACAATATATTCTATCTATTTAAAAATTTTGCAAACCACCCTCCCTCCAGTTTATTCCAGGGCAGTGTCCAATAGCTCTCAATTTATGATAACAATATAAAATCAAAGCAACATCATTCATAACAACTGCTGACTGA